CAACAGGCACATGAAAAGATGCTTAACTTCACTAATCATCAAGAAAATGCAATTCAGAACCACAATGAGCTATCACCTCACATCTGTCAGAATGTGAGGAAAAAGAGGGTTGCACTGTTGGTGGGACTGTAAACTGGTGCAGCCACTGTGGAAAACAGTATGGGGTTTCCTCAAAACATTAAAAATAGAATTACCGTATGATCCAATAATTCCACTACTAGGTATTTACTCAAAGAAAATGAAAACACTAATTCAAGAAGATATCTGCATCTCTATGTTTTTTGCAGCCTTATTTACAATGGCAAAAATACGGAAGCAACCCATGTGTCCATTGACTAAATAAATGGATAATAAGTAAGATGTGGTATATATATACAATGGAATATTAACCATAAAAAAGCATGAAATCTTGCCACTTGCAACAACATGGGTAGATCTAGATAGTATAATGCTAAGTGAAGTAAGCCAGAGGAAGACAAATACCATATGATTTCACCCATGTGTAGAATAAGAAACAAAACAAAGAAAAAAAGACAAACCAAAACCAAAACAAATTCTTAACTACAGAGAACAGATGGTTACCAGAGGGGAGATGGGTGGATGAATGAAATAGTAAAGGAGATTAAGCATATGTGCACTTATCTTAATGAGCACTGTATGTATGAAACTGTGGAATCATTCTATTGTGCACCCGAGACTAATATAATATACGTTAATTATACTTCAATTTTAAATATAATTAATTAAAATTTATAAAGACCTCTACGAATGAGAGAACATCCCATGGTCATGGACTGGAATAATTAATAATGCTAAATTAACAACTCTCCAGATTGATCTACAGATTCAATGTGGCTTCCCACATTGGAATCCCACCTGGATTTTCTGTGGAAATTGACAAGCTTACTCTAAAATTCATATGAAAATGCAAGGGATCCAGAATAGTCAAAACAATCTTAACAAAGACAAAGTTGGAGAACATACATTTCCCAATTCAAATCTTACTTCAAAGCTATGACAGCAACCAACAGCATGGAACTGGCATAAGATAGAAATATAAACCATTGGAGAGGCACCTGGGTAGTTTAGTTGGTTAAGCATCCAACTTCGGCTCAGGTCATGATCTCACAATTCGTGAGTTCGAGTCCCACATCAGGCTCTGCACTGGTGGTGCAGGCAGCCTGCTTGGGATTCTCTCTCTCCCTTTCTCTCCCTCTGCCCCTTCTCCATTTGTGCTCTCTCTCTCAAAATAAATAAACCAACTTTTAAAAAATATATAAACCATTGGAATAGAATTGAGAGTCCAGAAAATAAGTTGGACTTTATTAAAATTAAACCTTTATGCCACAAATGATACCACCAAAAAAGTGAAAAGGCAACACGCAGAATGTAAGAAAATGTTTGCAAAATTATATATCTGATAAGGGATCAGTATCCTGAATACATAAAGAACATTCACAACTCAACAGAAAAAAAATGGCAATCTAATTCTTAAATGGGCAAAGGATTTAAAAGGATATTTCTCCAAAAAAGATATATAAATGCCCAATAAGCACATGAAAAGTTGCCTAATATATCATCAGTCATTAAGTAAATGCAAACCAAAAGCACAATGAGATACCATTCTAAAAACATCAAGATAGCTATAAACAAAAAGACAGGCAGAAATAAGTGTTGGCAAGAATGTAGAGGTTTTGGAACATTTATACATTGCTGGAGAGAATGTAAAATAATACAGCCAACTTGGAAAACTGGCAGTTCTTCAAAATGTTAAGCAGAGTTACCAAATGACCCAGCAATTCCACTCCCAGGCACATACCCAAGACAAATGAAAACATATGTCCACAGAAAAACTTGTATTACATGAATGTTTGTAGCAGCACTATTCATAGTAGCAAGTGCCAAAAATCTAAATGTCCATCAACTGGTGAATGGACAAACAAAATGTGTTATGTTTACACAACAGAATATTATTCAGCAATAAGTAAGAGGTAGCGATATATGCTATAACATGGATGAACTTAGATATGATGCTATGGGAAAGAAGCACATCACAAAAGACCACATGTGATATGACTCCATTAATATGAAATATTCAGAATAGACAAATCTCTAAGTTATTGCAAGGATCTGGAAACTGAGGAGGAATGAAATGCCCTGTAGGCAAGGCAATGGAAATATTCTGGGATTAGACAGCGGTGATGGTGGTATAACTGCATGTGCTAAAAACACAAAACAGACACACATACGCAACACATTGCTTTGTATTCTCTAAATGGCTAAGCTAGGGTAGGTAAATGATATCTTAATGCAAGCTATTTTTCTTAAATGTAAAAATCTACAAAAACCTACAAGAAGGGTGCCTGGGTGGCTGACTCAGTTGGGCATCCGACTTTGGCTCAGGTCATGATCTCATGGCCTGTGAGTTCAAGCCCAGCATCGGGCTCTGAGCTGACAGCTCGGAGCCTAGAGCCCGCTTTTGATTCTGTGTCTCCCTCTCTTTCTGCTCTCCACGCTCTGTTTCTCCCTCACTGAAAAATAAATAAGCATTTAAAAAAAAATAAAAAGCCAACTTTAAACAAAACAAAACCTACAAGAAACCTATAGCCTATACCACAAGGTAACTGGGACTTACGTATGCCAGAAATCCATGCTCAAACTCAATAAATAAAGGAAGGAATTGTGTCAGCCTTACCCAGCGATGCCAAGTTTCTGTAGTTCTCCAGCATCACATCTCTGTACAGTTTTCTCTGACGTGGATTCAACAACACCCATTCCTCCTCGGTGAAGTCCATGGCCACATCCTCAAAGGTTATTGAGTTCTAAAATAATTAACATATTTTGTCTCAACCAGCAATCAACCCCACCAGCATTTTTGGGAAGAGGGTCATGGTGACCTCACTGAGAATGAAAGACCTCTTTCATAGTAATTTCAAAATCCTAGGACTCAGTCCTCTTCCCTCTCACTTCTTTTAAAAAATTGTTTTTAATGTTTATTTACTTTTGAGAGAGAGAGAGAGAGAGAGAGAGCATAGCAGTGGAGGGGCAGAGAGAGAGGGAGACACAGAATCCAAAACAGCCTCCAGGCTCCGAGCTGTCAGCACAGAGCCCGACACAAGGCTCGAACTCACGAACTGCGAGACCATGACCTGAGCCGAAGTCAGATGCTTAACGGACTGAGCCACCCACACACCACCCCCCCCCACACACACACTTCTTAAGGATCTTGTTCGGTCTCAAGAATTTAAAGCATCTCTAACACATAATGAGATGTATCTCTCCACTTCTAGGCTAAAAGTTTTTATAGTCTGACTCTTATTTTAAGGATTTTTTAAAGTTTACTTGAGAGAGAAAGCACAAGCGGGGAAGGGGCAAAGCAAGGGAGAGAGAATCCCAAGCAGGCTCCCCTCTGTCAGCGTATAGCCCGACACAGGGCTTGATCTCACAAACCATGAGATCATGACCTGAGCCGAAATCAAGAGTTGCACACTTAACTGACTGAACCACCCAGGCTTCCCTACAGTCTTACCCTTTCTATCTCCAGGATCCACCACAGGCTTGAACACACTGCAGGTAAAACACTTGCTAAATGAATACATTTTTCCATACAGAATGACCATACATTTTATATCCTTTTACTTCCCCTAACATCATTAAGCAGCAAAGATGACTGAAAAAAAAATTTGTAAATAGTAGAGGAGCGGAAGAACTCTGTTGGAAGTCCCTGAGCCGCCATCAGGTCTCAAGATCATGGATGGGCTGTAAGGCTCCTACGAAAATTCAAAGGGAAACCTCACTGACGTGGTGTTGGGAAGCCGGCAGGGGGAGCTCTCGCCCCCTACCACTAGTGGGCATTGCAGACCCAACGGGAAGAGTCAGATCTTGTAAATCCTTCCTTTACTACCCCAGCAGGAGGAAAAAAGATTTTCTCCTCCTTAAGCAACAGCCCAGGGAATGAGACTGCCTCAACTTAGCCAATGGAAAGCCACTATACATTGAACTCCCAATTTATTCAATAGATAGTTTGCTTATAGGAGCCTTCCAACTCCCTCCATTCCTCTATGAAAGAGGTTCTCCTTCTCTGTTCTCCAGACTTGCCTATAGTTTTGCTATAGCTTTCTTGTCCCAAACTGCAATGCTCTGCTATTCCTGAATAAACCCATTTCTGCTGGTAAAATCACTGACAAGTTTTATTTTTAAGGCTAACACTCCACAGTGTCGGCAGGAAACACATTCACTCCAGGAAAGAATTGTATTGTAGGAGAGAGAAAAAGATTCCTGACTCACCTGTAACACAGAGTGGATGTTTTCCACCTCTGTGACCCTCGCATGGGCATGAGCAGGGTCTAGAACAGGCAGAGATAAAAGACAAGGTGACATGGGAGTCTAGGCACATCCAATATTGTTGACACTCACGAGCCTAGAAATTGCCCCACATCAGTTGAGTCACCCCACACACACACACATTCACACACACAACACACACAAAGCATATTATCCAGAGCAACCTGCCCTGTCCCCCAGAGCCAAAAACTAGGGTGCCTTAATACCCATGAGGAATGGATTTAGTCTCAATTTTCCTAGGCACAGAAACTGAAACTCAGAAAGATGGAGTTATCTTTCCCAACTTTACAGAACAAAAGGATGGGATAATGAAGTGCCACCCTTAAATATTCTTCCATCTCCCCAAGATTTACATTGTCTTTCCTCCAAAATCCCAAAGGGCACTGAATCATACATGAGCAAATTATGAGGCTCCAAGACTTTGTAGAGTTTCTCACACCACCTCCTCGCATTTCAGCCTTGCCTTCCCAGTTCTCCTCTGTGGCTACTCAGCTCCCTGCTTCTGTACCCACCTGGGGTGGAGAGACCACGTAATTCTAGTGAAGAGCATCTATCCTAGGAACTTACCAAATCCAGAAGACAGATGTGTGGCTGCCATTTTGCAAGTCTTTGAATAAACATGACCAGGATGCTCTTTTTCTTGCATCTATGGTCCACTGCAGTCAGGGCTCTGAAATAAAGAAACATTAACAAACATTAACAAAACTGTAAACTTGCAATTTGATCCTGGGTCTTTGTTTTCCTTGCCTTGGACAACCTCAAAACAATATGGTAGGGGTTCTTGATCTTCCTCATCCCTAAGGCAAATCTACCCTATTATCAAACCACATTACCCATCATTTGTCAAAAATCCCATCTCCGTTGAGCAACTATACTGGTTTGTCATCTGCAATGGCACCAACACATAGACCTGACTCATTAAAGTCATCGGCACCTGCCTCCTACTCTTTGACTCTCTGCCTTGATTCAAGAGGATTCTATGTTCTTGGGCATAAATTAGCAAACATCCATGGCTTCGGCATATCAGTTACAAACCTTGAATTTATCGTCACTAAGACTCTTAACCTCTCCAGAGCAAAAAGTCGGGCATCCCTGAACTCTCTGAACATAGTAGCTATATTTCTACCCTGTTCACTTTTTAATCTGTATTGCACCTGCTCTTTTACCTCAGAGAGGCATCCAAGCTGTCCATCCTCCAATTACATTGCTATTTATAACCCCCATTTCCTTGACACTACATATAAAACACCATGGCCCATCATTTCAATAATATATTTCCCAAAACCTCCAGTTCCTTTCTCTGTCCTGCTGTAACCCCTGCTCTGGATAATTCCAGCCATCTGTCTATCCTACCTGGATGATTCCCACCTAACCAGTTGTATGGGAAGCCCTAAAAATTTGAGGCCTTGTCTACTCTAAACAGGCCTTCAACACTAAAGGAAAAGCTCCACTGGCAATTTAACCCTCTAGTTATCCAAAACTCTTTTCACAATTTGTCCGGGATTTTGAATTTCACATGGTCTCCACTTTCCTTCTTCCACAACAAATGATCTGATATCTTACTTCACAGAGGAATAGTGACAACGATGAGAAGGATCGTTCCTCTCTTTGCCACGAATTCAAAAGTAGTCCGACACCATCATGACTTCACTTTCCAGACAAGATGTCTTCCTTAAAAAAAAAAAAGGAAAGACTTTAGGGGCGCCGGGGTGGCTC